CGGGTCAAGCTTGCCTGACTGTTTAGGTAGGACAATGTAGCGGTGGGCCAGCATACCGTCAAAATATGCCATTTCATTCAGCCGATCCTATGGTGAAAGGAGGGGAGGGAGGAGTAGTCAACTAATCCCTCGTCGCCGAGGCGAGCTCCGGCAAGGGCTGCAGCAGACAGAGCATTATCCTTTTCTTCACCCCCACATTCCATTACTGGTTGTTTGCTAGAAGCTGCGGCTTAGCTGCACATATCCCGGGGCTCCGCTTGTCCTCGCAAGATACAGCCACAACCAATTCGGCTTTAGCTTGCAGCCTTAACTGCAAATACCATGCTGGTTCCGAGATTTTAAGATCCTCGGTGACCTTGAAAATGACCCAGCTGCCTCCTTGCTTGCCTCGAAAGCCTTGCTCGCTGCAAACACAATGACCTTTCTCGAGTCAAGCTCACAATGGCCTCTCTTGGCTCGTGCGTTTTTTTTTTTGCTCAAACTAGTCCCGAGCCTCTCGTTCAGGTTTTGCCGAGAGAAAATCAACTCATCTTGACGGCACACTCTTGTTTCGAATACGTCAAAATATTTTCGTCCGTTAACAAAGGCCGAAAAACTTCAATAATTATGACTGTCGTAACACCATATTCGTGAGTCGCAATTCGTACCCTGAGTTACTAAGCAATGCCATGTCATCGGCGATGTGCTGGTTACGGTACTCTTCATTAACTCTTATCACAAGCTCTTATCACTAGACTTCAAACTAATAAATCTAGACATACTGTTGCAGTCGGAGATATGCGTATCAAAAAGTAATCTGATGCACCGTCGGACAAAGAGTTAGAATATATGGGCATGCCTTAAGATATATTGCATCAGTCACTGATCTTTTGGCTCTGACTTGTCAACTGAGTGAATAAGTGCACCCTGGTTTCGCAAACTGAAAGCGTTGTCTGAAGGTAGCACTGCCTATGTTTATTTCCGTCTTTACTTTCTTGCAGCTGATTACGTCAGCTACAATGACATAAAGACATTTACTGAAGTTCATTGTGTAGCATCTCCAAAAGGTTCCTTTAAACCAGTCTAAGCGTGCTTGGCCTCTGCCTACAGGCTTTGCAAGTTGAATGACGTAGCTGCGTACGACATAAAAGTAGAATTGAGAGTAACGATGTGCACGAGCTAATTATCTATTTTAACAAGAGCAGACGGTACATGTTATTCGTAACACACACGATGTCGCTTACAATGCCCAATGGTGAATAGGCTTATGAAAATGTCACTCAGCTGTTTTTAGGAAACGAGTTAATCTAACCTAATCGTAGTTTCAACTGCCACACATATAAGACTTTCGTGAGGTGACGCGCATTTTCTGCAAAAATGTGGCTATTCTGGCAACAGACATCATGGGAAGAGCGTTCACCACATCAGCATTGATATGGCTTGCCAAGTAACGTTCGTAAACCACAATTTTCTTTCACAATTCATTTTACCGTACATATTTTAGAATGTATATGAGGCTGTGGTGTGTGTGATTTATTGTTCGGTAATGATTTTGGCATGTGAACCCTCACACTTCTATTTCTTCTTCAAGCAATGAGAAGCTCCACAAATGCCAGTGGTGACATTCCACTGCGCTAGCTCGATGGAAACACCAGTCATGCGCAACTCGAGTCCTTCACAATTGGAGAAGCTGGCCTTCGTTCTGCCATGGCGACTCAGACTGCCATGTGCTGAGAATTCAACATCGTTGAATCATACAACATTGTACAACAACTCGGAAAACCTTAGATGTATTATGCCTATTTGTTAGTTTTCGCAGTGGCATGGTGAAGTCTACTTCTACACGTGCTCACACGTTGCTTAAAAAAGAAAAAAACAATAAAGTAACTTTTCCCATCAAAATTTGTCTACTTTTTTGTTAAAAACACCCAAACAGTGCTCTGCCAAGGAGTTCCTGCCATGTGTGAAGCGTATGACACGAATATTCGACATAAATATTCATTTTTACAAGGAGTAACTTGAAGCATGAGCAGTGGTGCTCGCATAGTAGCTGGGAACACGCGAGAGTAACGGTCAAGACAAACCGTTGGTCTCAGGGAAGCAAATAGTGGGAGTAATGATTGGTTCTCAGGGAGCAACTGGAGGGAGTAACTGTTCAACTCCCGAAGGAGGAACTGAAAGGAGGGTAATGATTCGTACCCCTGCAGTTACTCTTTTTCTGGAGTAATGGAAGTGGCTAAGCAATTGCTCCTTCAAATGAGCAACCCTTATACCCCCGTTTCTATCTTTTGGCTTAGAGTGTAGGCATGATATCAAGTTCAGAAAGTACGTAAGTCCTTGCTGTATTGAGCACTGCGCGAAGAATTCAATACCATGCTGTATTTTTTCTTTATTATCTACCTGGAAAGTATCATGGTTACTGCAACAGTGTGATGTTTGTCCCACTTGAAGTAGCGATGAAGTATAATGCGAGAGTTCCAAAAAGTTCACTTATACGTGCAATAGAGGAAACTTCATTAAAAAATTTCATTTATTTGGAGTCAGCGGTCACTACCAGAAGTGCCGTAGCAGAATATGCTTACCGTCTTTCTTATATTGAACTTGAAGACATGAATATAGCCGTGTGTTTGTACATTCTCATTCTTACACGGCCGCCAATAGTAGGAGCGGTACCCGCAAAATCTTGTGTAAGAAAAGCATGAAATATGCGGTAAGTCATGTCACGCGTTTGCTTTCTCATAGGAATGCACCTTTATTGCATGCGTGGTGATCTAAAAAGCGAAAGTCATCGCCAGACAATGATATCACGAGATGATTCATATCTTATGCACCACCACTTGCTAACTTTTAAAGTTACATATTTCAAGGTGGTTGTCTTCTGTTCTTTCCGTAACCTTTCCGCCACCTTTGAGGGTTTCTGCAGAACTCAATTCCAACTTCAAGGCACGTTTATCTGGATATCAGACACAGTGGATGAGAGTGAATAAAGCAGAGAGGTGAAAAAGAAATTTTTTTTCTGGTGTAAGTATAGTGAACTGTCTCCCTAAGCTGAAATTTCCCGCCACAATTAGATGCATTTTTCAAATGAACAATATCTAACATGCTTCGCTGCGTTCTATGCACATGAGAAAGTAACTATGCAGCGACAAACTCCCAATGGGAGTTTAAATAACGACAGCTTTCTGCTCACAAATATCTGCTGGTGCTTTAGAGCGAAGATGTTTGAGGCTTGTACCCTAAATTCTATAGCATCATGGTGGAAAAGCTCTTAACTGAATGGGGAAACGGAACAAGCCAAGAGCAGAAGAAAACAGATATCGCGGCTCTCTCCCAATTATAGCTAATGAGAATTAAACACTCTCCTCACCCCAGCTTATGTTAGCGCGGGAAAGGCGCCTTGTTTGTTCCATTTCCTTTCACTCTTGTCTCGGTTCTTTTTGTGGATGTTCCACAAAAAGACAAGCTTCCGGCTTCAGTATCAAGGCAAAAGCTTTTCATGTGTCATACTCGCGGTTACAGCTTTTCTCTCCCCTGACATGGTGCCAGATGCCAGAATAAATTAGGCTTATGAGAACTGGTTCGTGGATGCCGTCTGACGGTGCGCTAAGTGCCAGAGTACAAACATTTTGCGAAATGGAGGCAGTTTAGCTTCGCTACCATTTGCGGTAAAACTGAAAAAATGGCTTTCGATGCACGAATGCATGCACAGAAGGACGGATGGACTGGCGCACGGATGGTCGGATGGATATATGAATGACATAGTATGGTCTACTTGTTCAAACCATACGCGCGTTATCAACGCTCTAGTTAAGGTGTAAATCGACGACCGACCAGGACAGCGCGGATGGTAAGTGTTTTGGTTTCCCAATAGAGCGCGCTTTTTGAACGCAGCGAAGTGTTACACTAATCAGTTCACGCTCATCCTGTCTATACCTATAGTTTTTTTGCTGCATCCTTTGTGTTTGTGCAGCGAATTGAGTGTTCAGCTGTGAACGTTGTTAGCTCACCCTCTTTCTGTGGTTGTTCTGCTTGTGCGTGCCTTTGTCTTCGGCAGTGCGCTCCTCGTTTAGATCTGGTGACGGCTCTTCACGCGACATTACAATTTATTGCTGTCGCATTCATTGCTTCACCCTTGTGGCAAAACTGGGACAACTGTTTTTTTTTGTTCACTTCTGCCTGAAACAAGGAGGCCGGGCGTAGTTCGCGCTCCCGTGAAAATACGTGGAAATCAAGATAAGTGACGCACACCGATTAAGAATCGAGTTGTGGGTATGACAGCGTGTGCTTTTCGCTGCGGTGAGCACCCTTACTCATCAAGACTTACATCAGTCTTTACCTTTTACCAAAATATTTCCGCGTAACCTCTGAATGATCTGCTACACAGATTTGCTGGTCGTCGGCCTTAAGAGAGTAATATTTTCTTTAGTTTTGTACCACAAATCCACAATATAATTGCGAGGAACTGCAGTGGAGTGCCGCGAAAATGTTCACCATTACGTGTTCTATATTTTACGCCTAAATCTTCCCACGGGCCTCTAGCACTCGCCTCCGTCGATAATGCGGCCGCAATGGCCGGCATATGATCCCGTGAGCTATGGTACAGCTATCAAGCACCGTAACCGCTAGACAGCGGGTCAACATAGTGGAATAGCTCACAAATGTTCCGTTCATATATTCGGCTTTCAGGCCAAGTCAATGCATCTTGCTTCCACCAGCTATATTCTTCGTGAAAAACACAAAACAAAAACAGTAAAACAGCACAATACCTGCCATTTTTAAAGTTTATAATAAAAGTAAAAACACGAGTATATGCTTTAAGCACTTGTTCTATCATATCGTGCACGTTTTTCATTTTAATACAAATAGGCGCACTAAAAATATTGGCTTTTCAAGAATATCTAAACACATGTACCTCATTACATAAAACTTCTGTTCAAAAATAATCGAGATCTACCTGCTCCTACACTTATCCTAATTCTCATAGGTTGGTGTGATTATAATTATTATACTTCAATGATTACCAGTGATGTATATGCAGTGGCTGCCAGTCCAATCGCAAGGGAGCACCATGAAACGTGGAAGTTCAATACTGCAACAGAAAAAAAAATAAGCTAGTCAGGGCTATAAACGGCATATAATGATCGAAAAAAATATCCGAAAATACGTTTTATAATGTACTCTATCTTAAAATGATGCTTTCTATATGACACAATTCCAGGTATTGCCTTATTTGGTTAGGAGCCTTTCCTGCCACTCATTCATGACGGACAAAAAATGCGTTCATGAAGCTGCGTGGTGACAAAGGTGCTAAAGCTAAAGCATACGTGTTGGATTTACTCTATCTTAAACAGAAGATCACAAACCGATTGACGAAGAGAACCAAGAACTGTTACTGTTCCAAGAACTGTTCCCTTATATGTAGCTTCTCTGTGCAGTTTATATGCTGAACGTCTTTGCCAAAATGTCTGTTCCGCTAATTAGTGTATAAATTCACCAAAAACTGTAGTCGGGCGAGGTTTAGGTTTCTAACAATTTATACCTGAGACCTAAACGACTGTCTTTGTTGAGCGAAATCCACAATGGCTGTACTTCGCCCGTATACTGACTGTCGCATTTGCACGCGAAGGTGCGAGCTGCACCCTCCAAATCACTACCAATGGTATCGGTATCTTTATGAAAGGCTATATCAGAACAGTGATAGCGTGCCTGCAAAACCACTGAGCTTATTCACATTCCGCGAACTGTTGTGCCATCGATGTGATAGTCGCTTGCATCGCCCAAAGTGGCGGGGCATGTACAGAAGAAAAAAAAGCAAAAAGTTCACATTCAGCGCTTACATCATTCTTATGTAGCGACTGGTGTAGTTCTAAATCCTGCGCTAAATGCGGCTCGAATACTATAAAACCTGTAAAAGTGTGTGGCACAGGCACCCAGCGATACTCGTTGTGCTTTTGTATATAGACTCTGTGTATGATTGAGCTCTCGCAGCAGCAAGAAAAACCGACGCCGTTAAAAGGGCGAGCAGGCGTGTGCTTGGTGAAGCCCGTTTAAGCACGGTGCGGATGCCAAACGGATGTTTCTAAAATGTTCTTAGAAACTTGTTGCAAATATTTCTTCCTTATTTTTCATGATTTACAATTTTTTAGATCTTGTTCGCATAATTTACCCCGCCTGGATGCATAATTAAAATATCTAGAATTTCACGTCCCCCAAACCACGATATGTATATGAGAGACGCCGCAGTGGGGGACTACGGAAAGTTCCACCATTCTTTAACGTGCACTGACGTCACACAGTACACAGGTCGCCACCATTTCACCTCCGTTTAAATGCTACTGTCGCGGCCAAGATTCAACGAGCAGCCTTTGCGTGAGCCACCGAGCACCGTACGGACTGTTGCACCATATCTTCGGACAGTTTTTAGCAGTGCTAACCTACTTTGATGCCACTACCGACCATTTATTTGCGCGTGATCCCGCCACATGGACGACAAGCCGGGCCCTTCGAGTGAGACACATAAACAAAGTGCAAAATGAATAGATGGATTCAACTCGATAGCTGGTTTACTAAAAAAAGAGAAACAGCACACCAACCTTCAACAGGCACGCATAGTCAACGTTTGCAGCTAAAATGGGCATACATCAATTCAACCACGAATGTACCGTTTGAACATTGTTTATGACGGGAGCACTACCACGCAGTGAGACCGCTTCCTCTAATGGAAAACTAGAAAACACGCAGCAGAGTCAACAGGACAGGTGCCTGATAGACGAGCCGCTGACTACGACGGGGTAGCGCGGCCTAGGAAAGTCAGTAAAGTGAGAAATGTCTGTACAATATGGCGTCCCACTGCACAAGGCAGCGACTCGAAGCGTTCGAAAAGCAGCCGCCCTTCACGACGACTCTTAGCAAGCGAATAAGCCAACTGACTCATGCAGAAAATTCGACTCGTTTCCTGATTTTGCCACTTACGAGGAGCCAAGAGAAAAAAAAGGTAGCGATAGAAATAAAAAGAGACTATGACCCATCTCCCCGAAGGAAACCCTGATGGTATGCGAACCAGCAGTGATGCGCAGAGCGTTGGCCTGGTTGAAACGGGTGTCGGAGCGCATCCTTAAAGAACGTTTCGAAGCGAAACTCGGTGTAGCGTTTACTTGAGTAAACGTTTGTTCGAAACGCAAAGACCCAGGAGGCGGGACGCGTTGACGACGCTTGAGCTCGGCTTCCTTGGCTCGCGTCTCTTCAGTGTTACCCGTGCGCAGTCTCTATTCTCGAACGCGATCGATGTTCTTGACTCGCACCTCGTCGGTGTCACTGGTCTGAATCAGTGGTCTGAATCAGTGAAATGACCGAATCAGAAACCTCGAAGAAATCCTACAACCCCTGATTACATCAATTGGAGTCAGTCTCTTTAAAAACGTTGGTTGAAAGCGAACTTTTCTTCCATGCAAACTGCATCAAAACTCAAACCAACGACCACGCAACAAACCGCAATTATGATGAGCGACCCGATGTAATTCTTGTGGAGTCTGACTGCCTGTTTTGTAGTGTATTTTTGAAAGTTGAAGTTAAATACATTACTTTTTGTTAAATTTCACAATGGTTAGTTTACACCACACAGCCAAGATTGCAAGCGCACACTCGCACTTTCACGGACAGTACAGTTGCGCAGAATTACCTTATCTTCGCTGCGGTGGACAGTCGACATAAGTCACTGCCATCATAACGTGACACAGCCTGTTGGAAAACGGCAGAATTATGCAGCAATGGTATTGCACTGTGGGCCTCTGTAGAGCCTTTAGATTCAATGAGTTGGCGTCTAGTATGCATGAGTAGTGATCGAGTATGATGTATTTAGGGCACAATCGTTCTCGCAGTTATATTCGCAAAAATCAGCCCCTTTAGACCACGCCACTGCCCAGTCTGATCAGTAGATAGTGTGCGACATGCCTGATTGCCTTCATAAATCAGATGTAAGAACAGCGACTGTTTGTGGAGGCCTTCCTTTTTTACTTGTTCTTGATCTTCCTTTCTTCATCTCATCAGATATAAACCAACTGGCTCATCGCCTTTAGGATTCACTGAAGTCGGTGTTTCTCAGACAGCAAGGCATGCGCTTTTAGATTGGGAAAAGCGCAGCCTTTAGGCGAACCTTGAGAGAGCTACAGTAATTAGTGAAACGAAGCTAATACCTGGCTTACAACCCCTTCCATTGTCAGGACAGTCTTGGCTGTCACAGTGTTCACCTTCTTCAAAATGACCTGAGAAGCTTATTCAAATTACAGTTCTGTGAATGCCTTTTTTGTCTCTCTAAGCCCCCAATAATCCAAGTCATTGTAACTGCAATAGAATTGATGTTAAAAAACCCAAACAGTGGAAGGTTCACTGAGGCCACGCTGCTTTCACCCTGCCTTCTTATGCCTCTGTTAAAATGAGGAGCTTGTGTAAAGATCTCTACAGACGTTTCGTTTAGCTTGTAAATTTATTATAGCTGCACTTTTTTCCGGCCACATGACAAACTATTAGACCCTGAAGCATGAAAAGTCTGTAAGTTTATATGTGTGCGAAACCGGCCGTGGTCTTGTTTTCAGTAGGCCATGCTAAAAAAGCATTTATTTTTAACCCGATCGATCACAGGATTCGATGGTGGGATCAAATCTAGTCTGCGGCAGCTGTATTTTCGATGAAGGCGAAAATGTTGTAGGCCTGTGTGGTCAGGTTTGTGTGCACTTTGAAGAACCCCAGGTGGTCGAAAGTTCCTGAGCCTTCTACTACGGCATCTCTCATATTTTTATGGTGGTTTTCTCAACTCCCCATATAAATTATTACTTTTCACCGAACCTTTCGTGAAAATATACCTGCAACGTGCCTTTCCCGCAAAGTCAATCACAGCTTCCAAACAGTTAGAAGAAAAAGGCATACTTACACGTAGAAGCTGCTTCTGCTGATGCGTATAGAGCGATTGCACCGACGGCTTGCTGAAAAAATATATGTTGCTGAGTTAAGTAGTAAAACACCTGCAATGCTCACAAGTTGAAGAACAGAAAAGACTCGCGCGGCTCACTCATTTCGCTGTGAAACGTCAAACATACCGCACCACATAGCCCGATGCTTCGTAAATAATTTACGTTGTGACGGCTTAGCGTCTATGGAATTGCTCTAGTGAGCACGAGGGCGTGGCTTAGATTTCCGCGAATGGCAGCCGCGTTTATATGGGGTCAAATCCAATCACACATGTTTTCTTTTGTTTTTGAACATGCTTTGTACCTCGGGAAATAAATTACGCTGCCGTTACAGCATGCGTCGCACATGATATTTTGGTTTGACAAAAAAAAACTCACAGGCTTACGCTAATTATCCATTTTCACAAAACCTAATAAATTTTCTGAACAATTGGCATGCACTTCACCGGCCGTGTGGTTCCGGGCACATGATGACGGCACCTGTACTAGCTCTTACATGGGCACTATTGACGGGCTTTGGCATTGCCATCGGCGCCAGCGTGGTTTTCTGTTCTGTCTAAGTATTGATATGTAGAGTGGTGCTAATTATGCATTGCAACATGGTAGCCATGGTTGAAGGAGCCCCCAGCACACACTGTAGCACCAGATAACGTGAAACTGGTCTTGGGATTGGCAGCAGTCTAAATAATGTTCACGACGTAAATGCTATTCTATCTCAGCGCAGCCGTGTAGTGCTAGCGACTCTTGGGCAGCAAGCTGTCACCTATATTTGCCACGACTGTTAGTATACATAAACTTACTAACAAAACCTACTTAGAAAAAACAGTGCTTGACTGGATGGTCTAACTAGTAACATAATGCTATGCGGTGTGACGCGTTAGACCACTCGGCAACGCTGCCCTTCTATGTATGTGGTGAAGCGGTTAGAAGAGTTCTTTTCAGTCATTGGTACCCGCTCCTCTGGGCTCTTTGAGTTTGGCAGAGTCTTGCTATCATACATGTCAGGATTTTATTTCGTAATGGCGTTATCATGAAAGCAGCCGAAATTTGACAACCGTACGTTCTTACCTTAATTTATTATGATTTCAATATTAGTCAGTCACGATGCTGCTTATACTCATTGGTAACACTTAAGTCGTTTATCTGACACTATTCAACGCCTTGAAAAATAGGCGGTTAAATTCTGAGCATAACAACCTTCCATTACCTAAAATCAGATTGAACTATTGCAGGTTTGCACCTTGCTTCTGTGGTGTTGCTCTTTGGAATCGCATTTTTTTCCAAGTTATATTCTGTCGTTCTCTGCAATATTTTAAACACACAAAAGGTGTTGCTCAACAAGTCTTGTTCGCTTGCCAAATGTAATATCATCATCATTTCATTATGTTGTATCTTACGTTTTGTAACAAGGAATAGTGTTCCAGTAAATAATTAATATTTCTTTTTGATTACTATACACATTGATCTCTTTTTAATACATTTTTATTGCGCTTTTACTTTCCTTGCCGTTAGTTTTTTTGTCCCCGACTAACGATAGGAGGTCGTCCGGACAGCTTAACACAATGGACGTCTTCATACAGTTTGAACATATGAAGCTTGTGTTTGTGCATGCAACCTGCGTATTATCGAAGTGCTGCGAAGGCCTAGCTAAGTGTTCAACGCACACGCTAACTCAAGTGAAATATTTCTTTCGTTTCGTTTCTATTCTTTTCCGTATATCCCTATGTCTCGCTTTATGTCTCTCTCTGTTGTCGTTGTTTCACAAATCAGAGTTGTTGCAACCTATGCCTATGCATCCTTTGCTGCATCGTGCGCCCTCTGGCGCAAGAGGACGCACGTGTTCTGGGAACAAGAAGGAAGGAAGGCGAGAGAGAAGAAGCCGACAATAGTCAGAGCGAGTTCACGATAACGATCATTTTCACTTTATACGACACATGCTAACGTCGACCTTAACAACTCTGCAATAGAAAGGCAGAAAGACAGAAAGGATAAAAAAAACAGAGAAAGAAATGGTCAGAAAATCAAAAACGTTTAAAACAACGTAAGCTGATATGTACGTTGCGCTTTTGCTTTTTCAGTGGATGGCCCTTAAGTGTGCAACGAACGTTAACCTGACGTGACTCCTGTATCATAGTATATATGCAAAGTTTCTAAAATTACATGGAAATCACTGCAACCACTGCTGACGCTTCACCACCATTGCACCGGCGTGGATGAATGGATAGATGCGGAAAATTATGGCTAGTATTGAGGTAGATGACTCAACGTCCAGTGGGCCGGTCTCACATTGGGGCAGTGAGGCCAAGCCTGGACTCTGCATCGTGTGCCCTCTGGGCAGCCCAATGTTTGACCCCGACATCAAAGCTCTTCATAGCGCATAGCTACTTCTCTGCGCTCATTGAAGCCGTGCCTCATAACGAGGGCTAACGACAGAGCAGATGCTCTAAGCCAGTGAATTCGTTGCAGTGCGTGCAGGAGCTATCGGAATAAATGTCGAGATTAAACTTATGTAATTAATCTAGAATGCAATACAAATCCATATGCATTTATTTTTGTTTTGAGGGTTAGTGCCTGCGTTGTATTTAACTTTGTGTGAGGATGAACAAAGTCTATTTGGTGGAGAATAAAGTACCGCAGGATTTTGTAGTATGTGGTCGTAATACTTCTGTTCTCCAGAACTGCAGGCTGGCAGGGGAGTTTTCCATGGTCGCAGAAAGTAAGATTTTGTGCTTTCCAGTGGGCTACCATTAGGGTTGCATGTTTTCAGATTTTTTTTAATGGGTTTGACCGTAAGGGGCTCAATGCAGCGGCTCAGTGGCTCCGCTGCCAGTCTGACCCTAAGCTGAGGGCTCGAAGGGACGCAGCAACACAGCAACGCCGACAAGCATACATTTATCAAACATTATCATTTCAAGGATGACTGTATCCTGCATGATGGTTTGCCTAATCGTCAGCATTCATTTCGTGTATAAGCAAAGAACTTTTGAACTTTCGAAAGTGCTTTCTGGAGTATTTTTATAGGAAAGTGGCCTTTATCGGAGCTCATATCTCGTAAATTCCCAAATATTGGAAATTCGTTGTTTAATTTCGCATGATATGTTGTTGCAGTGTGGCATTATCTTTTGCAGCAAAGTTGGGTTGCACTGGCGGCAATGATTTTTCTTATCTGTTCTTTCATCTTCTTTTTCCCAATAGCTCTTTGTTTACACTGTTAGTAAGGCTATTCATGTGCAGTGCTGTATTAATCATGACGGCATACTTTTGGGACGACTGCTACTCAAACTCTTTCCTCACTTTTTCTTCCAGTCTCCCCTTTTTATGGTGAAAAATAACGGAACACTTACTTTTTCCTATTGCTATAAATATTCTCAATATACTAAATTGTTAAAAGAAATGATATAACACCTGAAATAATTGCGGAGCCAGTAAATGTATTTCAGATATCTGAAATTCTGAACTGTTTGACCATAGCAAACATGTATACGCGCAATACAAAGCCACTTGTTTCCTCGTACAACAAAATAAGACTATTTGTAATAGACGCAAGCAAATTTTATGAGGCTATTGCCACTGATGGAGGTGCACTCATTCCAACTGGGGATTATAAATTGTGAATATGTACATTTACCGTTCAGAATTTCCTCTCATTGTAAGCGGTTATCCGAAAATGCTAAATTGGCAAGAAATTTACCAAGCAATGTTTAAGGGACTCTTTTTGGATTCACCCGAAAACACAGAGCTCTGACCATGATCCGGCCAGGCAGGCCCCGAAAACCTCTGCATACAATTTTTTCCCAAACCAGATTCGAGATCATGCGTGGCCCTGCAGTAGACTACTTGACTGCAAAGCCAAAAACCTTGTGTTAGGTTCCTACTGGGAACCTAATTTGTTGCATTAATGGGATTAACGCTGCCGTTGGCAGTTTTTTTAACTCAATTGCATTTAAATTACGAATCTTTGTTCTTGCCGGTCGTAGAAAGATACAAAAGATACAAATCGTCAATCACATGTGGCGCGTACGTGCCTACCGTGGGCCATGATCTACAGGTATGTGCCTCACGTGTATAGAGGAAAAGGTTCCACGAGATACGTGACATTTTCGCAATATTATGACGGGGCGAGAAGCACCGTAACAATATTTATGTCATGACGAGCCAGATGTATTTGTCAGACCCTATTTTATAACTCATTGAGTTTCATAAATATACACTACAGAGAACTCCGGGCCTATAGTGTCTGGGAGCTGCATCGCACGGCGTTCAAGCGAGCATGAGAGGGATGAGTATACAGAGATTTGTGTAATCTTCGTACTTCTGGCTCTGTTTGGTGTTTGCGTATCTTGGAGCTGTTCTGTCACGAAACAAAAATCACCTAATGTTCAGCGTTGCGCTTCACCATCTTTTCTATCAGGCTTACCATTTCAAATCGGGTCCCGAAGTTCAAGAGGGTTCGTTATTTTTTTTCAAACAAAACGCGAACACTGTAATAAACGAAGCCATCAGTGAGATTCCCCACCCAAAACTATGAAGACCAGGCAAGTGCGAGCACAAGCCATCAATCCAATGGCCGCTTAACAAACGCAGTGCCAGAGTTTTCTCCAGTTAATTTACAGCGAAAGCTGTTGTGAGATCAAAACTCGGGTCACGTGCGGTGCCATAGTTGTTTGCTATTGCCGCCGGTGCCCGAAACCACAACCGTGAAATAAAAAAAAACAGTACTAATGACAGAGTGAGGCTCAAACTCGGGTCCAATCCATGCCAGTACAGTATTCTATCACTGAGCCACGCCAGTGCTTGTGAAATATTCACAAGTTCACTTGAGCAGACTTCATGTCATGAAAGGAGTCACTTTACCACGAGTAATAAAGCGTTTTAGAACAGCATAATAACAATGGGGTGTCACAAAATGCGAATAGCGTAACGAGTTGTTCGTCTAGTGCTGCAATTCATTACAAAACCTTGTTTTTTTTATCACCTACTAACTGTGGCGCATACGGACTTCAGGCATAATTCCTCATTGCCGTCAGCTTCTGCATGAATATATAAGACAAAATTCCTTGAAAGTGTTTAGCGGATACGACGCTTCTCTGAAGAATGACAAAAAATAGCACAGCGAATGCCGTTCTACTACCTTGAAATAATGATTACTAATGCCACAGTGGTACCGAACAAGTGTGCTTGCTGCAGTTACCCAAGGAGCGTTTCGAAAAGGTTCTAAAAGGCTACCCTTGCGCTGTGACTGTGCTGCGCCTCTGTTCCAAATATATTCAGGGTTTCATCGCCCTGCTGGCAGCTCACCTACTTCGGGCAGCCTCTTGGTGCTTTAACCCTGGAGTCCATACTAACATTCGTATAGTATGGACTCCGGGCCACTCGGGCCTGCCCGGCAACGAGGTGGCCGATGCCACGGCCCGCGCTTCTTCTCATCGGGGCCGTTGCCACTCCATGTCCCAAATCACAATCTGGCAATACGAACCTGACACGCTTTCGCGAAATCCTTGCCTATTAACGGGCTTCACGTCGCCTCTACCCGGACCCCGCACGTGATAGGGAAAAAGCGGACGAGCGTATACTACGCAGCCGCCAGACGAACACCTACCTTAGTCCGGCGGCCGCCAGCCATTTTATGCCGGAAATAAGTAGCACCATCTCGACCAGTCAGGTCCTGGCTGACACATACCACGTCATCGCTTCGTGCCCCACCAACCCTCATCTTCTTTCACCGCCTTTTTCATCCCAACCAGAGAGACTTGGGAGGAGTACCTGCTCGGCTGCTCGACCTTGGATGCCCAACGCTTCTTGGTGGGTCGCGCTCGAGCAGCGGCCAACTGCTTTGGCATCACGGAATAGGGTCTTGCCACTCAAACATTCAATATACCGCAACTCTCTATTACATTTTCTGTAAAAAAATGTTTTCTGCCACCACCACCACCACCACGACCACGCAGGCTTGGCGACTTTTAAGAAACGCATCTCAAAAAGACAGACAGACAGACAGACAGACAGACAGACAGACAGACAGACAGACAGACAGACAGATAGATAGATAGATAGATAGATAGATAGATAGATAGATAGATAGATAGATAGATAGTACTAAACAAACTGCGCTGTTCATCAAAGTAAGATCAGTTACAACGCAGTTTTAGTATCTCACCGTAACCTTCTGTCGAGGAGATCATTTTTTAAATTTGTTGTCATGTATTTTAGCATTGAATTTAGCAGCTGCTATCTGTTGTGGCGCTTATGTTTTTGAACGTTTGGTGCAGAGAAATATTTGCTCGTTTGCTTTCATGCATGTACCAATATCTATTCCGCAGTGCAAGTGCATTCCTATTTGTTCTCATATTTGTTATTTCTAAATTAGCGCTTCAGTTGCGAGAGTTTATAGTATTTTTTGAGAGAGTCGCTGTATATATTCAAAAACTCGCAGAAATTTGTAATTGTGGATCAGGTGCAACGTTTGGTCCGGAATGACTCCTACAACCACTGAGATAAATTGTAGGGTTTCCCGGTATTCTGTGTTCTAAAAGGCTGTCATGCCATACCACCTGCCTATCCAACAAGATGGCCTGGGTTAAGCGTCACCATGACCCAGTGACACCATTTCCAGGTGCTGATGAGCAGGGGCACGCTTTAGAGCGCAATGATTAGCTGATTCTGTCAACATGGTGTTCATGATGCAGTGTGAAAATAAATAGTGAATCTGTACGTACCGACAGCATGATATAAGTAAGAGATGTGATGACAGCGATGGTCCTGTCATAACGCATTCGGATGTACTGCGAAAAAAAAGAAGTAACAGTTTCATCGCAATGGCGAAGCAATGAATGCGATATCAACAAATTAGAATCTAACACGAAAAACGCCAAGTAGCTGAAATTTTGCTGCGCGGTTCTCAAGCACAAGTGACGCACGAAAAGAACACCCACATGGCGAGTGTGTAATTGTCAAAGCTCAACACTTGCAGCTTGCTGTTAAACACAACTAAGGGCGCTCAACAAAATCATAAGTAGACACAGAGAAAGCATAAACAACTATCACAGTTCTGTTTTCGTTTTGGAGCTGCATGCCTAAAGTGTCAACTATGTACTGTCTGCATCAAATAAAACCCGAACACGGCAAGCCTTCGTTGTGGTATAGTAGGTGTGGTCCACTCATCACAATGAACAGGCAAACATACATGCGCAGAGCAGCAGAACAGGGTTCGCCGGCGTGTGAATCGTTATATGTGGACGTCGTATACTATACCATCGCGAAGACTTACCGATGTTCGGGTTTCATTTGACACTGATAGTGCAAACGAACGCCCTTGGTTATTTCTTGTACTGGTTTCTTTGAAAACTGCGGTCCGTGGAGTAACCCTTTTGCCTCTCCTGTAGCGCTGTGGCATACGACACGTGCGCTCACTGTTCTACATCGAGAAAGGGTACAGAAAGGGGCCAGTTTTGATGCGCGTCTCAACGACAGTTATCTAGCTGAAAAAAACCATAAAAGTCGATTCAAAGCGCGCCTTTAGCACCGTTTCGCGGGTGCTACTGAACACGCATAAGCAACGTCAAATTTGTTTGGAGAATACAGCTGTGTTGTGTTAAGTCGGTGAACATATCTTTAGAAACGTGAACTCACCAGGCTTATGAAATATCGGTTGATCTGCGTACCGCCAATTATCAATAGCCTGAACTTCCGGCAAGGAGATTGGTCAACGGTGTGATAATGTAGGCAAAATAATAGGTGTAGCACCGGAAGTACGAGCATAGGCCGATGAAGTGTCGGAGTTCTTTGATGGTAGTTGGTTTTGAGAACACCGCGACTACATTACGTTTTGTTGGTTGTGGAAGGATACCGTCCCTATAAACTACATGGCCGAGGATTATAAACTTGCGAGCGCCGAAATGGCTTTGATTCAAATTAAGTTGTAGTATCGCCGTGAAAAGCCACGTAAGACCTTGCTCGAGGCGGCTGATGTGGGTCGCAAAGTCGCTTGACAATACCACAATATTGTTCAAAGAACAGAGGCACGTTTCGCAGTTCCGCCCTCGCAAAATGGTATCCATAATTCTTTCGAAAGTAGCAGGTGCGCTGCAGAGTCCGAAGGGCGTGACGGTGAATTGATATGGTCTGTCCGGTGTTTCAAAGGCTGTCTTCGGGCAGTCATTCTCTTCTATGGCCACCTGCGAGTTGTCGGAGAGTAAATATAATGAAGAAAACAACTCTGCTCTTTGTAGGCAGTCTAACGCATTATCGATGCAAGGTAGAGGGTAAACGCCTTTGTGCGTTATGCTGTTGGGTCGGCGGTAGTCAAAGCAGAACCTGATGGATCCATCCTTATTCTTGACAAGAAGTACCGGTGAACCCATGGACTGTAGATTGGCTCGATTATGCCAAGTTGAACATATCGTCCACTTGTTCGTCGATGACACAGCATTCAGCAGATGGCACATGGTAAGAACGCTGTCTTTGTGGGGCTTTTGACTGGTGTCAACATTGTGAACGACGGCGGAGGCTCAGCCTTAGCCTGACTGGTCATGTTCTAATGAAAGTTAAAACATTGTAGAAGGCTTAAAATCTGTTGGCGCTGAGTTGATGTGAGCTCAAACTCAATGGCATCCGAGAAGACGTCCAGCACTATATTTGGCGTGTTAGGAGGGTTGACGCCACAAATTGTAGCGAGGCCATAGAATCGGGCAAAGAAGCGGGGAGAACGCACTCGTAAAGTTCGTAGCATCCCAGGCATTCTACACGTAGTAGGCATGACGGGCTGTCCGAGAGATTGCATCCATAAATGGCCGCGTGGCCGTTGCGAAAAGTGATGATGCCGAACGGAAGCAAGCAATTGCGACAGCACGCAAAGGTGACCGAAGACATAAATAACACAGATGATTTTGGAGGAGAGGCACACGTCACCGGGAGAACAAGTGAGAAAGGCAAAATGTCAACGTAAGAAGCAGCAAACACTGGACACGAAGGGCCATCATCAGTGCCAAAGCACAGCGCAGGTAACGCGAGTTCGGAACGAGCGCAGTTGACCAAAGCAGAACTTGACAAAAAAAAGTTTCACCTAAGATAACGTCTTGCGAAGAACGGAATAAAGCTACAAATTCGACAACGTACATCACACCTTGAAAGACAATTCGCGCTGCACAATGCTGAAGGCTGAACATGGTGGGACGTAACTCTCTGAAAAGAGAGATTGGTAAGTTGAGTGGTCACTTTCTTCAAACTACGGCAGAATCTGGCTTATCACAAATACGGCTCCAACACTGTCAACACGTCTGTGCACCATAAAGCCATCAATATAAAATTTCATTTCTTTAGGTGGACAGCAGTTAGGTCCTTAAATTTTTTGCCGACAACGCAGTTCTTGTCTTCGAAACTGCGCCTGTCAGTTTTTCTTGGTGTTAAGCTGTTGCAACGTAACATTGAACAAATTGATAGGTGACGAGGAGAAGCCGATTGGCTTGCACCGGATGGTCGGCGACCGGGAAGTACGTCAGAGGCGAATCGGCAGAAGCAGGATATCGTGGTTAAGTAGGCATGTCAGGTGAGACCCCTGCAATGTGTTGAGAAGGGAAGCTGTGACGGCGGCAGTAACGGGTCAAGTGGCCTGGAATGCCACATGAAAAACATAATCACCGATTATGAGGAGTGCGCCATTGGCTTATGGTAGGGGCACTGTTCGCTGAATAAGTGACCGTAAACCACTGTGAAGGGGGCGGCGGCATATAAATGTTCCGAGTTGTTTTGTTCACAGCTGGAGACGAGACGCTCAACAGGTGGGCAGGTTGCGGTGACGAATAAACGATGCTAGTTACTTCGTAGATAGCCGGAGATGGTGGAGCACACGGCCGAGCAACAGTGGCAGCATACGCCAGTAGTACGGTACCAGATAGTGGAATATAAGCTGGCGGCAACGCTTTGGCAGCTTGCGATTCAATGACCTGGTGAAGCGAAGGTGACAAGGGCACCACCGGCTGGATTTTTTGGTCGTTATACATACCTGCTGGATAGTCTCGTCGCAAACGAATTGCTTCATGAGTGTCGTCAAAGCAGAGTCGTTGGCAGTGTCATTGTGAAAGTCCAGGGATAAGATGTTCGTGGTGTCTTGAGCAGCGCAACGTGTGCAAGCGTGCTACCTACGTAGCTCATCATAGCTCTGGCAGGGCTGGATCACTTCGTCGACTGTCTGAGGACTTTTCGCAGCAAGTATCTTGAATGCACCGTCGTCAGTTCCTTTCATGAAGTGCTTGATCTTACCTGCCTCGTCCAGAGTCAAGTTGACGAGCTTAAAAAGAATGAGCACATTTTCGATGTTGCTTGTGAAAGTCACATCTTTTCTCTGTACTCCGTCCGCCACGCAAGCGCTGCTCAGCACGAAGCTCGCGGACAGCAGGAAGGCCATAGACTTCCGATAGAGTTTTCGGTAATTCTGACTAGGTACTGAAATCACTTTGCTGATTCTTGTACCACAGTTACATAACGTAGGTCAGGTAAAAGTTCACATTTGTGAGCTTTTCGGATGCATTCCACTAGATGTAAGCGCTGACCAGTTCATACTCAGCGATGCAGTTGTCCACATCTTGGTCGTTTGTGCCACAAATAACGGGGGTAACGCTGCCAGACAGCACCAGGGTAGAAGGCAGGCACGGGTGCGGGTGCGGGGTGCAGTCATTGCAGAAGGTCCTTGAAGTGTCCGGCTGCAAAGTTCCAGAAGTTCCAGGTTGAGAACCAGATGGACCATGCACTTTCACTACTTGAAATGGGTTATTCTACATGCAGGAATTGACTCGGTAAACAAGCGCAAGGGCTAAAACAATTGAACAGTTTAACTTATTTCTCGCGAATATATATATATATATATATATATATATATATATATATATATATATATATATAACGTGTTTTAGAGTAATGGCAACAAAAGTAGAGTAAAGTTACTAGACCAAATTGTAATGTATAGCTGAAGAAATAAAAGTGGCTGAAAACATAAGTTGCCGTGAGCAGGTACCAAACCTGCGAACTTCGACTAACGCGTTCGATGCTCTACCACTGAGCTACCATGGTGGCCATCCTCCCAGTCACATTATCGGGTATATATGTGAATTTGAACGTAAGGCTGTCAGTTAGCACCATCATTAGCCATGGCGGCGAGTGTGGCACATTCTTTGTGAGCTTGTATGGCGTCACGTAGCACGTGAACTTATTACGAGCTGGCACCTGAGCCATAGTTTCTCGTGCATTCTTTCCCCTAGATATATATTTATATATATATGCATTTAGGATCTACTTGACTATATATATATATATATATATATATATATATATATATATATATATATATATATATATATGACGCAATGGCCAAAATCCGCCGAGAGTTAGCTATGATTGATATTGCCATTGAACGGAGGAAGTGTCAAAGCATTGAAGAGGAAACTTGGGATAGGCAAAAGTCGGATGTATGCACTAAGGGACAAAGAAGGCAAAATAACTACCAATATGGATAGGATAGTTAAGATAGCGGAGGAGTTTTACAGGAATCTGTACAGTAGCCGAGACAACCACGACCTTAATACTATAAGAACTAGCAGTAACCCAGATTACACCCCACCAGTAATGATAGAAGAAGTCAGAAAAGCTTTGGAGAGCATGCAAAGGGGCAAAGCTGCTGGTGAGGATCAGGTAACATCAGATCTGCTGAAGATGGAGGACAGATTGTGTTAGAAAAACTAGCCACCCTGTTTACGAGGTGTCTCCTGGCGGGAAGAGTACCAGAGTCTTG